ATAAAATCCCCAAAAAACCAAAGAGCCAGCTTAAAAAAAAAAAGGACCAACAACAAAAAAACAAACTAAAAAACCTAAAAAAAAATCCCGGGGAAAGAAAAGCACCAAGATGAAGGGAGTGACAAAGCATCAAAGGGAAGAGAAACCAAAGGCGTCGGAACAAAGGACGAGCTGGAACAAAGCCCCAAAGAGGGGGGAACAAAAGCACAAAATGGAAAACAAAGGCGGGGGGACAAGAGAAGCCCCTCTGTGGGGCTGGGTGGCACCGGGTCCCCGCCGGGGCCGCGCTGGCCGAGGGTGACAGCCCTGCGACAGCCTCGGGGTCGCCTTTGAAGGCTCGGGCCCCGGGGGAGGTCGGGGCGCAGCTCGGCCCCGCTGCCCCCCGGGCCCGCTGGGTGGTCCGGCTGTCCCCGCTGTCCCTCTGTCCCTCCCGCTGTCGCCGTGTCCCTCCCGCTGTCGCCGTGTCCCTCCCAGCTCAGTGTCACCCCCTCCGTGCCCCGCTGCCGCCCCTGGGCACGGCTGGGACGCGGTGGGGACAGTGCCAGGCTGGCAGTGCCACCCTGCCCGCGGTGGCATTGCCGCGGTGAGTGGCTGGGCTGGCCCCTCGTGCGGGGACAGCGACAGGGACAGGGACAGGGGGGACAATCCGAACAGCCGGGTGAGAAGCAGGTCGGGAGTTGAGCCCCAGAGGAGCCCTGGGGATCCCCGATTGTCCCCAGGAGGGCTGGCACAAGCGGTGCCACACGGGGGGGACACACGGGGGGACACCCAGGGTGGGCAGGGGTGGGGTGAGCCTGGAGTCCGACCGGAATTGGGGTGCTGGAAGGTGGATTTGGGGTGTTTGAAGGTGGATTGGGGTGTTTGAAGGGGGATTGGGGTGTTTGAAGGGGGATTTGGGGTGCTGGAGGTGGGCAGTGCCACCACACCAGCTGCTGGCACCTGGGGGTGGGTGGCAGCGAGCTCTGGGCACTGGCAGCGCCTTCAGTGCTTCAACCTGGGATTTCCACAGGTGGGACACGGGGCAGGGACAGAGGGACACGGGGACGGACAGAGGGACCCTGTGGGGTGCCGTGGTGCCGTTCCCAGGCTGGGGAGGAGCTCAGCCGTGCCCGTTCCCAAACAAAGGCCCCGTTTCCGTGCAGGAATCCGGGCCGGGTTTGCTGTCCCGGCTTTGCCCCAGGCTGGGTTTGGCTTTGCTGTCCCGGGTTTTCTGTCCCGGGTTTTCTGTCCCAGTTTTGCCCCTCGGGCTCGGTTTGCTTTCCCATCTTTTCTGTGCCTGCTTTGCTGTCCCGGTTTTGTTCCGGGCTGGTTCCGAGGGCCGGACCATTTTCTGGAGCCCTTCCCTGCCCCAGCCCCGCCGGTCCCGGGCCGGGCTGTGCTGTCCCGGGCTGGACTGTGCCTGTCCCGGGCCGGGCTCTGCTGTCCCGGGCCGGGCTCTGCTGTCCCGGGCTGTGCTGTGCTGTCCCGGGCCGGGCTGTGCTGTCCCGGGCTGGGCTGTGCTGTCCCGGGCTGGGCTGTGCTGTCCCGGGCTGTGCTGTCCCGGGCTGCACTGTGCCTGACCCGGGCCGGGCTCTGCTGTCCCGGGCCGGGCTGTGCTGTCCCAGGCTGTGCTGTCCCGGGCTGGGCTGTGCCTGTCCCGGGCTCTGCTGTCCCGGGCTGTGCTGTGCTGTCCCGGGCTGTGCTGTCCCGGGCCGGGCTCTGCTGTCCCGGGCTGGGCTCTGCTGTCCCGGGCTGTGCTGTCCCGGGCCGGGCTGTGCTGTCCCGGGCTGGGCTGTGCTGTCCCGGGCCGGGCTGTGCTGTCCCGGGCTGGGCTCTGCTGTCCCGGGCTGTGCTGTCCCGGGCCGGGCTGTGCTGTCCCGGGCTGGGCTCTGCTGTCCCGGGCTGTGCTGTCCCGGGCCGGGCTGTGCTGTCCCGGGCCGGGCTGTGCTGTCCCGGGGGTGCCCAGCAGGTCCCGGGGGTGCCCAGCGGGCACACGGGGGGTGCGGGGGGCAGGGTCCGCGGCTCTGGTGGCACCGGGGGTCCCCGGGGCCAGCGGGGCGGGCGAGGAAGGAAAGGAAAGTGAAAGTCCCGGCGGGCCGGCCGTTGCCATGGCGACCCCACAAAGCTCCCGCTCCCTTTTCTGGCTCCGCTCCCTTTTTTCGGCTCCGCCGCGCGGCTCCCCGGCCCCTCCGGGAATTGTGTCCCCTCCAGCCTGGGGACAGCGCCTCCGGTCCCCTGCCAGCCCTTTGGGGACTGTCCCCCACAAGCCCTCCCTGCCGGCTCAGGGGTGGCACCGAGGGCTGGTGGCTCTGGGGACCTCGGGGCTGCCCGTGCCGGGGGTGGCACCGGGGCCAGCTGTGCCCCCGGCCGGGGAGGGGCTGGGGGGACCCGTCCCGTCCTCCCCGGGATGTGTGTCCGGGTGGGAATGGGGATGTGGGATCGGGAATGTGGGATCGGGAATGTGGGATTGGGGATGTGGGATTGGGGATGTGGGAATGGGAATGGGAATCTGGGATTGGGAATGTGGGATCGGGAATGTGGGATTGGGGATGTGGGAATGGGAATGTGGGAATGGGGATATGGGGATATGGGAATGTGGGAATGGGGATGTGGGATTGGGGATCTGGGATTGGGAATGGGAATCTGGGATTGGGAATCTGGGATTGGGAATGTGGGAATGGGAATGTGGGAATGGGGATATGGGGATATGGGAATGGGGATGTGGGATTGGGGATCTGGGATTGGGAATGGGAGTATGGGAATGGAATGTGGGAATGGGAATCTGGGAATGGGAATGTGGGATTGGGAATGTGGGAATGTCCCATGGTGTTTAATGGGAACATCCCACAGGGTTTAATGGGAATGTCCCACGGGGTTTAATGGGAATGTCCCACGGGGGTTAATGGGAATGTCCCACTGAGCCCGTTAGGGTTTGGGGGCTGGGGGTGCAGCTCAATTCCCCGATTTCCTGTGAAATCCTCGGGGAGGGGATGGGAAATGATCCCAGGTCTCTGCTCTGCTCTTTGCATGGGACGGGGACAGGGAGAGGGCTGGGAGTGGGGTGTGGGTGCCCAAACCCCCCCAAACTCCCAGCTCAGCTCAGCAAACCCCAAACCCCAGCATCTCCATCCTGCCCTAGGATGAAAAAAAAAAAAAAAAAAAGAAATTCCCAGGGAAGAAAATAACGGAGTGGGGGAGGAAAGAGGCCGGAGTCAATGGGAACTTTCCCGGCTGCTGGAACATAAACAGCCCTTCCGTGTTGACACAACATTTTAAAGGTTTCACGGCAGGAAAAAAAAATAAAAAAGCTCCTTGTCAACACCCGAGGCAGCCCCGTCCCTGCCCGGCTGCTCCTGGGGGATTTCATTCCCTGGGGAAGGCGGGCCATGGAATTCCCGGAGCTGCTCGAGGGGTGAGGTGCGCTGGGTTTGGGGTGGGGGAGATCCTGAGGGGCCCCAGGTGGGAAAAACCTCATAAATCCAACTGAGCTCCTGGGTTTCCATCCCCAAAGGTGTGGGAATGGTGTCCGTCTGTCTGTCTGTCTGTCCAGCTGTTCCCCCTGCTCCGTGCCTGCCCTGCCATGGCACACAAAGGGGTGGGTGCAAAAATAAAAAAGGGTTTAGCAGCACTTCATCCTTTTAAAAGAATGATTCCACAGGTTTCCTTAAAATTATGATTTAATTATGAAATAAATCAAATCCCTTTTTGGGATTGGAGAAGGGGAAAACCTTCTGGCATTGGAAAGGGGAAATCCTCTTGGGATTGAAGTAGGGGAAATCCTTCTGGGATTGGGAAATGGGAAATCCTTTAGGGATTGGAGACGGTGAAACCTTTTAGGAATTGAAAAGGGGAAATCCTTTTGGGATTGGAAAAGGGAAATCCTTTAGGGACTAGAAAAGGGGAAATCCTTTAGGGACTGGGAAAGGGGAAACCTTTTGGGATTGGAAAAGGGGAAAACCTTTAGGGCTTGGGAAAGGCGAAATCCTTTAGGGCTTGGAAAAGGGGAAACCTTTAGGGATTGGAAAAGGGAAATTCTTGTGGGACTGAAAATAGCAGAAATTCTTTAGGGACTGGAAAAGGGGAAACCTCTTGGGATTGGAAAAGGGGAAACCCTTTTGGGATTGGAATAGGGGAAATCCTTTTGGGATTGGAAAAGGGGAAATCCTTTTGGGATTCCCACCAGGCACCTGGAGGAGCCTGGGGATGTTTTGTGGGGTTGTAATCCCCAAAACCCTTGAAAATCCCAAAGCTGAGAGTCTGGGAGCTCCGAGAGGCCCCGAGGGAGGCGAGCTCACCTCTGAGGCGTTCCTGGGGCCGGGCCCTGATTGATTCGGGGCATCGGGAAGTTTCCACGCTGGCCCGGAGCCAGCAGGGGATGGGAGGAATTCCCGAAGCGCGGCCACAATGGGACCGTTCCACTCGGGCTGAGCCTCACAATGGGGCCGGGCTGGCACCCCGGGCAGAGCGGTGCCAGGGCCGCCGGGATCCCCCCGGTGCCCAGGTGGGGTGTCCGGGGTGCCCCCTCCCCGGTGCGGTCAGGGGGGGTCTCACGGCCCCGCCCGGGGGGCTCCGCGGGAATTCCTGGGATGCTGGAATGGATTTGGATGGAAAAGGGGAGGTGGGGGATGAACAAGGAGCGAAGCTCGGGCTGGTCCCCAAGTTGGAAGGCGGATTTTGGGCTCTGCCACCGGCGCGTTGTGGTTTTGGGGACCCCCCACCCCGGGAATGTGGGCTGGGCTCTCCAAAATCCAGGCACGGCAGCGAGGGGGGCCCGCTCGGCCCCGGGGGGGTCTCAGGGGTGCCCCCAGACCCCTCCGAGTGGCGGCCCAGCCTTTGGGGGGGCTCGGCCCCTCCGGGGGCTCCGGGCGGAGCGGGGCAGCCCCGGCGCTGCCACACGCGGGGCCGGGGGTCGCGAGGGGAGGGGACGGGGCACGGGGCCGCCCCGAGCCGGCCGCTGGCTGGCTGCACCGGTGTCCCTCCTCCTCCTTCCCTCCTCCTTCCCTCCTCCTCCTCCTCCTCCTTCCCTCCTCGCTCCCTCTCTCCGCCCGGCGCCGGGGCAGCTCCCAGCGGAGCGCGGGGGACATGGAGCGGACCTGAGGCGGTGGCGGAGCCCGCAGAGGCGGAACCGGCGGCAGAACCGGCACCGGCACCGGGGCGGGACCGGCACCGACATCGGCGGCACCGGCAGCTCCGGGGCTCAGCGCGGCGGAGCTGTGAGTGCGGCCGGGGGGCAGCGGCACAGCCCGGGGGCAGCGGCACAGCCCGGGGGTCACAGACACAGCCCCGGGGGTCACAGACACGGCCCCGGCGTGCCGAGCACCCTGCGGGGTCGCGGAGCACCCTCGGGGGTCGCGGTTGAGAGAACCGAGCGGGAGAAGCCCCCCGGAGCCCCCGGGCTTGAGGAGGAGAAGGGAAAAGCGGGGAAGGGGCGCGGGGTCCGGCCCCGCTCAGCCCCGCGAAGTTCGGGGCTGCGAACTCGGCTGCGAGCCCCCCCAACCCTGCAGCCCCGGGGAGCCCGGCAGCAGAGGGGTTAATCCGGCAGCAGAGGGGTTAATCCCGGCCCCGGGGGTCTGCGCGTCCCCGTGTTCGGGCACAGAGCGCGGTCCTGGCTGGGGGATTTGGGGACAGGAGGACACGCGGACAGGGGGACACGCGGACAGGGGGACAGGGGGACACGGGGACACGCGGACAGCCCCCCGGCGCGCTCTGGCGCTGTCCCCACGCTGCGCAGGGACAGACGGACGCGCCGTGGCGGCACGGACAGACCGCGCGTGTCCCGGGGCTGGGGGGACGCCGCCGCTGTCGCCGCCGCGTGTCCCCTCCTTCATGGCTGTCCCCGCGGGACAAGCGACACTTGGGAGCATCCCCCGGCCCTCCCGGGGGTCCCGGCGGGGACAGGGGACGCGATGGCTCCGGCCACCCCCGCAGGGAGGGAGGGAAACCCGGCCGGTGTCACCCGCGGGTGGCGACAGGCGCCAGCACCGCGACACTGTCGCGACAGAGGCTCGGGGAGCGGGGACAGCGCTCAGCTCTGTCCCTTGGCTGCCACAAACCGTGTCACCGCCACGGCGACATCCCCGCGGCCACCGCGCCGGGCGGGGGTCTGGGGGAGACCCCGCACTGGGGATGGTCCTGCAGAATTGGGGGGAATTTGCGGGAATTTGGGGTTTTTTCCCCCCTCGAGAGCGGGGGAATCTCATCTCGGCGAAGTTGAGCGGGGAAGGGAAAGGCGGGACCGCGCGCTCCTGGAGGAGAGGTTTTGAGGCGAAAAAGGCGAAAAAGCAGAAATTTTGGGCGGTTTCCACCTGCGATGAGCGGTTTGCAGCGGGCGCTGCCAGGGAGGGATGGCGCTGCCGGGGAAAACGCGCTGGAGCCGCACGGAGCACCTGGGGCTCCGAAAACTCCCCCAAAAAGCGGGAGCGATGGATTTGGGCAGTGAGAAAAGGAGAATGGGCTCGGTGAATGGGATTTCTCCCGATAACATCCCTCCCTCTCCTGCGGAGCCGATAACTCCGGGTTGTAATTCCTGCAATTTCCTCTCCCGGCTCGGTTTCATTCGGAGGATCCATTCCGGTGACACTGACACTTTTTTCTCTTTATTTTTTTTTTTTCCCTTTCTCTTTTTTTCCCCCCCTCTTTTCTTTTCAAAACGGCGTTTTTCAGAAGCTTTTGTGCTGTTAAAAATAGCAGCCGGCCTTTGACAACCGCGGCCAGGCTCCGGACAGTTTTCCCTGACACATTTTCACCCTCATCATCATCATCATCACCATCCTCTCCCTCCCATGCCACCAGGAACCTCCACCTCTCCCTCCCAGCAGAAATCCCAATTTATTTATTTATTTATTTTATCCCATTTTTTTTTAAAATCCCAAATTTGTAATAATTTTTTTTTCTTTCATTCTTTTTAATTTATTTATTTATTTTTAATCCCTTTTTCCTCTCTTGGAACAGCTCAGCTCCCCCGTTGCTTTTTTTACCTCCACCCAAACCCTCCCCTGTCCCTAAATCTGTCCCGAAGTTTATCCCAGGCTGGGAGATGTCCTGAGGGGAATTTCTGGGCTTTTTGTCTCGCTGCCGAAATGTCCATTATTGCTCCGGGGGATCCGTGCCCTGCCGGGCCGGGCTGGGGGAGCTGGAGCAGCTCTAAAGTTGTTTTTTATGTGCTCCGGGGTTTCAATTTCATTTATGGCTGCGGAGGAAGGGTTTGTGTCCCCGGCAAAGCTGCTCTGGCACCGCGATCAGTTTTAATTTTGGGGTTTGCTGGCACCCCTGGGAAGGCGAGCAGGTTTAAACCAAAATTTCAGCAGGATTATTTTTAATTCTGGAGTTTTCTGGGGTCTCTGTGAAGGGGAGCACATTAAAATCAAATTTTCAGCAGGGTTATTTTTGATTTTGGGGTTTGCTGGCACCCCTGGGAAGGGAAGCAGGTTAAAAGCAAATTTTCAGCAGGGTTATTTTTATTTTTGGGGTTTTCTGGGGTCTCTGGGAAGGTGAGCCGCTTAAAACCAAAATTTCAGCAGGATTATTTTTAATTTGGGCTTTCTGGGGTCCCCAAAGAGGGGAGCACAGTAAATCTGCTCTTTCAGTGGGATTAGTTTTAATTTTGGGGTTTGCTGAGATCCCTGGGAAGGGAGCATTTTAAAGCCACTTTTTCAGTGGGATTATTTTTAATTTGGGGTTTTCTGGGGTCCCCAAAAAGTGGAGCACCATAAAGCTGCTTTTTCAGTGGGATTATTTTTAATTTGGGGTTTTCTGGGGTCCCCAAAAAGTGGAGCACCATAAAGCTGCTTTTTCAGTGGGATTATTTTTAATTTGGGGTTTTCTGGGGTCCCCAAAAAGTGGAGCACCATAAAGCTGCTTTTTCAGTGGGATTATTTTTAATTTGGGGTTTTCTGGGGTCCCCAAAAAGTGGAGCACCATAAAGCTGCTTTTTCAGTGGGATTATTTTTAATTTGGGGTTTTTGGGGTCCCTTGTGCTCCGCTGGGAGCGGGGCTCTCCAGGGCAGAGCAGCCGTGGGGTGAAGGTGGCTCTGGGGTGGTTTTGGGGGGTCCAAACCCCCCAAAAAATGGTGGGGAGTCCATCCCTGCTCGGAATTCCTGGGATTTGGGACACAGGGGTTGGGATTTTCCTGCTGGGGATGGGGGGTGGGAGAGTGAATCCCTGTGGGATGGAGGGTCAGGGAATCTTTGGGGTACAGGTGACAGGAATGTTTTGGGGTACAGGTGACAGGAATGTTTTGGGGTACAGGTGATGGGAATCTTTGGGATTCAGATGAAGGGAAGTTTTGGGATACAGATGGAGGAAATCTTTGGGATGCAGGGGAAGGGAATCTCTGGGATGGTGGTGACAGGAATATTTGGGATTCAGATAAAAGGGAATCTTTGGGATGGAGGTGATGGGAATCTTTGGGATGGAGGTGATGGGAATCTTTGGGATGGAGGTGATGGGAATCTTTGGGATGCAGGGGAAGGGAATCTTTGGGATGCACTTGGCTGTATGGGGGGAGTCTTTGGGGTGCAGATAGGATGTGCAGAGGGAATCTGTGGGGTACAGGTGACAGGAATTACTTTGGGATGCAGGGGAAGGGAATCCTGGAGATGCAGGTGGAGGAAATCTCTGGGACGAAAGTGAAGGGAATCTCTGGGATGTGAGGGGGGAATTTTTGGGAAGTGAGGAGGGAATCTGGGATGTGAGGAGGGGATCTTTGGGATGTGAGGAGGAATCTTTGGGATGCTCTGGGAGCCGCTGCTGTCCCAGCCCTCAGCTCCAGATCCCAACCCACAAACAACAAACCCAAACAAACTTCCAGGTGCGCTGGGGTGGCCACAGCTCTGGCATCACCTCGGGGGTCCCTCGGAGCTGTGCCCGTGGATTTGGGGGCTCAGGGGTGCTGTCACCTCAGATCCACATCCTGCTCACTCCAGTTCATCCCACTGCAAACACTCCCGGCTGGCACCAGGGCTCTGCGCCTGCACGTGGGGTGGCAGCAATCCCAAAACACTTCCCAAAAGGCTCTGACCACCCAGGGACCACCTTGAACACCCCCCGGGGCCGCTTTCACAGCCCCTGGCTCCTGCTGTCCCGCCCCGCCAGTTCCCGGCCGTGCTGGGGAAACTCCCGCCGCTCATTTTCCTTCAAAATTCCATTTAATTTTTTTTTTTTTTCGGAGCAAAACAATCCCCTCATGGCGGGGCAGCGCCCGGCCCGAGCCCGCGGGGCCCCGGAGGAGCCGCTGCCCTCTTTTGTTCTCTGCTCCGGGGGAGCAGCGCTGCGGGCCGGGCTGAGGAATCCCCGCTGCTCCCATCCCGGCCTTCCCAAGGCTGGAAAAGAGATTTGGGATCGTGGAGCCCCTAAAGGCGGCACCGCCACGGCCTGAACCCCTGGGGAAAGAGAGGGGCTGCTGGTTTGGGGGGGCTGAGAGTGGCTGTGGGGGGCTGGGGGGGATTTGGGGAGATTATTGAGGGGCTGGGGGGCTCAGGAAGGGCTGGGGGGTCTCAGGGGTGATGGGGCAGATGGACTCGGGGTCAGCTGGGGAGCTGGGGGTTCAGAGCTGATGAAGGAGCTGAGAGGGTTCAGGTGATGGAGAGAGGAGTTTGCGAGGCTCAGGAGTAGTTTGGGGTAGGGCTGGGGGGTCTCAGGGGTGATGGGGCAGATGGACTCGGGGTCAGCTGGGGAGCTGGGGGTTCAGAGCTGATGAAGGAGCTGAGAGGGTTCAGGTGATGGAGAGAGGAGTTTGCGAGGCTCAGGAGAAGTTTGGGGGGCTCAGGAGGATCTGAGGGTCTCAGGGATGGTTGTGAAGGAGCTGTGGGGGTGCTCAGGAGGAGCTCTGGGGTTCAGGAGGTGCTTAGGGGGTGCCCAGGAGAATCTGGGGGGCTCGGGAGGATTTGAGGGGCTCAGGAGAATCTTGGGGGACTCAGGAGAATCTTGGGGGGCTCAGGAGGATCTGGGGGGCTCGGGAGGATCTGGGGGCTCAGGGATGACAGTGAAGGAGCTCTGGGGAGCTCAGGAGGATCTGGGGGGCTCGGCAGGAGCTGAGCATTCCCGGCTGAGCCCGGCCGAGCCGCGGGGCTCGGGGCTGCCGGAGCGGCTGGAGCCGCCGCGCCCGGCGGGAGGCAGAGCCCGCAGAGCCGGGTGCATGGAAATGGCACCGGGGCTCGGCTGCTGCAGGACACGGCCCCGTGTGCCCCGGCGCAGGGGAGCCCGGGCTGGGCT